AATTCTCCTTTTCCTCTTGATATTCTACCTTTTCTTCAATTTACCGATAAAAGATTATATCTAGAAATTATTTACAGAATAACGGACTCTAATAATCAGATCTAACATAACGAATCTTGCTAAAAACTACCATGTTATAAAATTATACAAACTTACTTTCTGTTTATACAGACTTACGTTTTGTCATAAAATTTTCTTAAGATAGAATGATTATCTTATTGTTCTATCTTATTGTATCTACTTTTAAATATGAAAAAAATGAAAAGAAAATATTAAACTATTTAATATAAATTATCATAATTAGTATAAATTATAAACTATTTACATTATCTTTAACAGCTTTGTTTTGTCATAAAATTTTGTAAAATAGAATGATTATGATCGTTTTGTCATAAAATTTTGTAAAATAAACTGATTATCTTATTGTTCTATCTTATTGTATCTACTCTTAAATATGAAAAAAATGAAAAGAAAATAAACTATTTAATATAAATTATCATAATTAGTATAAGTTATAAACTATTTGCATTATCTTTCACAGCTTTAATCCAAAAGTAAAAATAAAATGTACAATAAATATTATACATTAGACGTATCAAATAAAGATTTAAAAAAATAATACGATTGAATAATAATACAATTAAGATTAAATATTTTGGAATTTAATTCAATATTGGTAGGATATTTACAATAATTTGAGATTAATGCATTTTTGTCGCCAATATCCTCATGTTTATTCGTGATAACTTCCTTCCGTTTGCTGATTTTCCAACCTCCTGATTTCTTTGTCTACGCGATAAATAAGCTCAGAAAATATATGACGGTCTACTTTATTCACCTTTGTTTGCGTGTTCCTTAATAAGAGCTATTTCGCGCGTCGCAGGATTTCGTGCCCACAGTCATAGCTTATTTAGCCAACTGTAAAAACAGATCACATTCCCGCGCTAAAACCGACTCGCGTAAAACCTGATTCAGAAAATGACAGAATGTTGGAAAAATTTTCTTTTGAGACTTAAACCAACTAACAAGCATTGAAAAACAAATCCTCTTTTTATCATTTTTAGCTTTAGCTTTTAGACAAAAATAATTTATTAATATATACAATCTTAAGGATCTTTTTTAAACTTATAATTTGCGGCAAAATTCAAGATAGAATATAATTATATCTTGAATGGGGGAGAAGTTTATAATTTTTATATGTCATAATCTTAATATATCTATACATTATATATATATATATATATATATATATATATATATATTTTTTTTTTGTATATATATATTTTATTTTGTATACACAAATTATGTTTGTCAATTATAAAAAAGATGAAATAAATAATATATTTATTGTAACTAGAACCATTATAAAACTACATATTAATATTTTATAAGAATTTTTCAAATTTATCCACAAGTATTTAATATTCTATTCTTAACAATGTAATCAACGCTAAATACATTACATCCATAATAATCGTTTGAAATATATATTTTGTTCTCCCACGAAACTCTTTGAGTATATTCTTTGCTTTTCTGGTAATCCTTTGTTTAATTTTGAGATATGATGGATTAAAGCCTCATCTTCGCATTGAAACGCGTATTTACTATGCACTCTGTTCTTTTTGGACATTTAGCTTGTATGCGATACTAACAAGACTATCAAAAGCTCAAAAGTGTTAATATTATCCTAAAATACTATTCAAATTATAAATAAATATTTAACTTATATATTTCAAGAAATTCACTGTCGTTTAATCCGATCTGGGCAATCTATGATTCGTGGAGAGCAAGCTCGTCGGAAATATTCAGTCGAAAATATTCTTTGAAGAAGTTTCTCAATAATTGACTCTCCTTTGACTGTTTCATTTTGTGATAATAGATTAAAACGTCGTGTCTATTACATTGGCTTTGTTCAAACTGTTCTTCAACGTAGAGCTCGTTAAGCGAGATGACTCGCACGTAAGAGGGTTTAAGAGGAAAAGCGGAACACGTCAATGATTTTCAGTATATTTTAGCAAAAGGGCAGAAAGGGACTGCGCAAAGGGAGTCGCATGAGAAAGTAATTTCATCCCCATATACGGAAGCGGAACAGCGAACGATATGCGCCGGGATCGCTCTCTAGCACAAAATGAAACGACGCTGCACCGGGCATTCGAATTTTCAAAACTTTATTCCGTTGTTCGCCGACTTCATTACAGTTGCAACAAGGCCAGATTGCGCGACATACGACCACATTTTTTTCCTTTGTTTAATTTATTTTATTAATTCGTTGTTTTGTGTCGTTTTATTAATTCTTTGTTTTGTGTCGCTAGCAATACTGCGTGTCCAATTTATGTGTATGTGTGTGTATTTTCACAAAAAGGGAAATATACAATACGTATTTGAAACACTCTCTTTCTCTTCCGTGGAAATTTTTCTTAAATAAATAAATAATCGTCATCCATATATATCTGCCAAGCAACGTGAAATTTGCAAAAATATTTCATGAGATTAGATGAAAGAGTAGAATAATTTAAATATGTATGTGTTTGCATATGTATTTTTTAATATTACGATATTCTCAGCTACACATATATTTTTATTATTTAATATTGCATATTACCAAGCTATAAAAGAAGATTGCATTTAAGCGCACTTTCCTTAGGAAAAAGTCTCGAGTCATTTCTTTATTTTAGAGGCAAGAAACTTGCATTGTTTTTAGGTCGATTTGATGGCACTAAAATCAACATAAAAATAAAGATTCATCGTAAAACGAAATGCAGACAATGTTCCATCGAATTAAATACGATTGCGTATGCGATTTTCTTTAATCTATGGAAACAATATCTTTTAAATTTTTACGATTCTTTCTCGAAATTTACTTTTATTAGAAGTTTCATTTATTACATATTTCATTGCTACACTGAGAAAAAATCTGGTTGCATTAATTAGAATTCTGGTAGATTCAACCAGTATGTCTGTTGGAAAATGAACGAACCAGAATTCTTGTAGGAATTACCAGATGAATCTAATTCATTTCTTCCTATTAAATTTACCAAATTTTTTGGTTAATAATATTAAACTCGCCAGCACCAAATCGTCTAAATTTTTTTCCATCTAATCTCAAAAGTCTGTTTAATATTCTGAATTCCAATAAGATTATTGGATAAATTCAAGATTCCAGATTATTGAATAAATTATTTTGAATTCAGTTTGTTAGAAATTAAACTGATGTAAGAAGAGGATGCAGCTCAAACACACACAATCAGAGAGCTAGCGTCCTCTTTTTGACACTACTATTTGTAAGAGAAAAAAATATACTTTGGATTTAATGTTAATACTAGTTCTTTATATACATTTTATGGCAAATATTGAATACGAGTTAAGTTAAGAGTGGCAAGCAAAGAAATTAATGTAACAAGAAATTTTATAGATCCAACCAGAAAATACTAACCAAATCCTTATAGTAAAATCTCTTAAACGTTCTAGTTATAAAAAATCGAGTCATGATAACTAAAAATTCTTGTTTGATTTAACCAAAATGCCTTCAATCATATACGCCTTGTTGGTACAATCAAACGATTTTTCTCAGTATGGAAACAATATCTTTTAAATTTTTGCGATTCTTTCTCGAAATTTACTTTTATTAGAAATTTCATTTATTACATATTTCAATGCTATAACTTTGTCAGCAAAAAACGTTGATGAAATCCATTATCATGATTATTCACCGAACGACGAAGAAGAACAGGTCGAAGAAATATCAATGGCATAGGATCACAAATTATGATCATGACGATGAATATAAGAAAGAGGCTGGATTTGAATTTGAGTGGCAAAGAGAAGGTGTATAACGATGTCGCTCTATCCGGGTTTGTTCTGCCCTACTTCGTTCTCAGGGGGCGGCTTTCGTTCATCCCTACTATGGATCCTTCTATGGATCGGATCAGATTACCAGCCGCGCCGAGACGCTTTACCCGGAGAAATGCGGGTTTCCATTGCACTGAATCGACGACGTAAGGGGATTGGAGGTAACGAGCGTTGCAATACTGGCTTCGTACGCTCTTACGTTTTGCCCTCTTTCCCTACCGTATTCACCTCACCTTCCTCGATCGTTCTTTTCTTGGTTTAACACACGGTTTGGCCAGTCTTCTTCATTTCACTCCGGACCAGGAACGCGACTTCGTCCCGGAATAGGATTCTCCCGTGAGAGAGCCGTGAAAAGAGATGCAAGGAAACGATCCTTCAATTTATTCTCTTTTCAAGCAAAGACTTTCCGGTTTACTCGCGCGAAACGCTTTACACATGTGCAACCTGAATGCGAATTCTCGGATTAATTAAGCTTGTAAAAGCTTGAGCCTTTTTTTTTACCGTGCGACGTAGATGAAGCGATGAATGTTTCAAGTTTGTATTCCAACAACGGCTAATGCTGAAGTAAAAGGCTTTACGCGCGTAACCCTTGTTCTCTGCGGTGTTATTAAGGAGAAAAATCTTCTTAAAATTAAGTGTGAATTATTGCGATAAACGTTGTATAAAGCTGTATGTGTTAAGCTTATCACGTAAATTTATATAAACCTGACCATAAATCAAATATTCTGTTTTTATAGAACCACGAATCATTATTCGTTATCGAATATCAAATAAGTTTATTTTTTTATTAAGGAGATTTAATATCAAAGTTTATTATTTTATAAATATTCATAAAATATAAATTCAACTTTTGATTAAGAAAATCAAGCTTATAATTTAAAACTTAAATAATTTGATTAATTTTTTTACTAAAAATTATAATAAAAAGAAATTAAAATTTCACCTCTATATATCTATTCATTGATCCTTGTTTCTAATAATGCAACAATAGATATATTTCAAAAGATTTTTCTAAATTATCAATAAATACAACAATCATTATCAAATCGCAAAGCAATTCCTATCTCATATTCATCGTTAGAAATAATGAATAGATATCAGAGCGATTTTCTCGTGAGATTCAAAATGCAGATTGACTAAGATTAGCTCACCTGTAACGACGACATTGATTTTCTTAACCAATGGAGGATGCGTGGCAACTTGGCACTTATACAATCCCGAATCGCGCGGGGTCGCATACAATATTTGCAATCTCCAATTGCTGGGATATCTGCGAAATCAAATAAGAGAAAAATGCTTAGACTTACGATGCAACGTTAAAGTAGAAATTGTAACGAAAAATGCATTTTCTGGCGCCATTGATGCGTTTGCAATTTACAACGAAATAACTGGGATGTAGATAAAGGAAAATTGATATTACATATTATTTTCTAGTAAAGGTTTCTCATAATGCCTTGCTTCATCGGATCTAAATTAGTATCATAAAGCAGAACTGCGTTACAGTTTCTGATTTTTACAGCGCATAAAACGGCTGATTTGATCGAAAAGACGAAGAAAAATGGTAGCAAAATTTTTCTATCCTCACGAACGCCGCAATCGTTCTGACAATGATGAAAAACGACTGCAATCGTAATTCGATGCTGATGACGAGATTATGCGATTCACTGCCCGGACTACAGCAAATGATAACGAATTATGATAATACCGTCGACAATTTCGTTGCTGAATTTCACTCATCATTGCAATCGGGCGCTGTTATTCAGCGGTGAATTCCTATTTCCGAGGTGATAAAAATTCGCGACGAGATAATCGACTTCGCCTATTTCTTAATAAAGTCGACGTAGATAGATAGGGAGAATTTATTACGACTTACCGAAAATTAAGACTGATTCTTTGGTCGTTGCTATATGGCGTTCTGCCCACCGTCAACAGACGAAATGAATCCTTACCATGCTGCACCCATGTCACCTGAAAACAAAGAGCGAATTTATTATTATCATTTTTAGTGATTTTTTTTCGTTAAATCGTTAAATAAAGTAAATTTCTTATTTTTTTGCCATAATTGTATTATTTTCTGCACAATTAAATAATTACAGACAATATATTTTTTATATAAATCTTCCCTTTTACATCATGAATCATTGAAAAATATATCTATATCCTTATAAATACTATCTCTGGAAAATACAGAGTGTCCCAAAACTCATAATCAATTTTTCAAAGACAGATTCCTGGGATCATTTGAAGACGATTTTTTCTCAACGAAAATGTCGAGGCACTAATAATTTTCAAATTATAAGTGATTGGAAATAAGGGATTTTTCGTAAATTAAGCTTTGTAGAAATAAAATATTAACAAAACCACATTCTTCGATTAATTTTAAATAGAGTTTACTTTAGTTGAGTTTTAATTTGAGGTTTTAATTGCAAAAAAATATGACAAAAATCGGGAACATGCAAAAAATGATGATCTTCATTGACATTTTCGCTGAGAAAAAATCGTCTCCAATGATCCCAGGAATTTCTGTTTTTGAAAGATTGATTATGAATTTCGGGACACCCTGTATAATAGGACCGTCTCAAGAGACCGAAAGATCGCATTGGAAATTAATAAATCCATTTGCTTTAAGATTTTAAATAAAGAATCAAGCAATTTCCGTCCAAGTATGTCCATTCATCAGAAATGAACGCACAATTTCCGCAAAGCTTCAACTAGATAAGTATTGATTTAAGAGTCATTCACACAATATGACAATTAAATAGAAAAGTTAAATGTGATATCAAACTTGTATAATCTAAATAATTAGCTTCTTATATGAAAAAAAAACAAATATGAAGCTTTAACTTTGTCGAGAGATAAAATTGATCTTAAAAAAATATTTGTATAGTGAAAAAGTTTTTTTCTTCACACATTTTTATGTGTGAAATTTTTTATTAAATTTTAATTAGTTTTTAGATTAAAAATTTAAAAACAACATTATTAATTTGTAGAAATAAAGTTTTTAAAAATTACGCATTATAATTGATTATGGAATTACAACGATAGCAAAATTAGAAATTAAATAATGTAAATACACTTTTATATTATTCAATATTTTTTCGCAGTCCTTTTTCTGTATGACGCTTTCCTCCGAAGATTCAATTTCACATCACATATGCCAACCAGCGCAATAATTGGCTATCTGGGGACGAGTTATCACGATTTGTCATCAAGAATAAAACAGACAATCTCGCGAAAAATTTAATTGTGTTCGCGATAGAAATATTAACCGTTCAAAAGATTTCATGGACGCGTCCAATTATGTTATAACTTTTTACCAAAGCAACCGGGAAAAATAATTTCTGGACAAGTTTCCCTTACGCTGCGTGCCATTCGAATTAAATTTGTCGTTCGCCAGAAAAGTTATCTCACTGAAAGTCGTTGAGTTCGAGTAGAGCCGCTTCAGTAGTCTTTAATATAATGAAATTAACAAGAGTTCAACTTTTGTTTAAGAGAAAAAAACTTAATATGAAAAAAGAGCCGTGCAAAAAAATTTTTTAAACCGATTAGTCTGTATAAATATTTTAGTAAATTTTAATAAATTGTATATGTCAAAATTAAATAAACAATTTGAATTTTGTTATATTTTTTAAATTAAATTACATTCTAATGTAAATCACTAAAGAGTTTTATTTCTGTTTTAGGCATTTTTTGCTATAAATAGCGCGAATTTTGTAGCGAATTTTGTAACCATTTCTCCTTTCTTTATAAAATGAAATTTCAAAATCAAGAGGTCAAAATTTAAAATATTTGCAATATTTTTAACGGAACGTTTTTCTGATTTTTATGAGAAAGCATTGCTGAATCCATCATATCGTTCAATATAATCACACACACAGTGTTTGCTGTAGATAATTTCAAAATTATCTAGATAAAGATAAAGATAAAAATCCGTAAATTTATCTTAGATGAGATAAAGATGATTTTGCTTTTACTTAATCTAGATGAAAGATGAGATAATTATTGCAATAATCTAGATAATTATCTAGATATTTTTGTTTATTTTAGAAGACTATAAATATTTGGAAAAAATGTGACGCAGATTATAAATGGGATATTAAAATCATAAACACATATTCTTTCTCTTTTCCTAAAGAATATTTAAATAATAGCAAAAAGGTATATAAATGATAAGATAGATATTTATTAATTATAGATATTTATTTATTTATTAATATAGATATTAATATAGATATTTATTTATTAATTTATATTTATAATATATTTATAATATATTAATAATATAATAATAATATATTTATAATATATTAATAATAATAATATAAAAAATATATTTTAGATATTTTAGATAGATTTTTAGAAGCTTGCTTTTTTTGCATAATGAAAACGTCATCTTAGACAATTTTTAGATAAGATGACGATATATTTTTCATCTAAGATAAAGATAAAGATAAAGATACTTTGTATTTCTTCATCTAGTTAAAGATAAAAATGATCCATTTCTTTATCTAGATGATTATCTAGATGATTATCTAGATACCAACAAACACTGCACACACAGATGTGTACGTTTGATACATACATACAAGTATAATGGATGTTGTGTCGGCGTATGTTAGGATTATTCTACTTAAAAAGTGATCGCGTGTAAATATTTAAGGCGAACAAATATTTCCTCTGTTCTCTTACGCATTTTATGAAAAAGGAACGACTTGGCAAACAACATGGATGTTTTATAATTAAGTTTCCTTCGAGTTGTTTGCTATTCTCGGAGCGCGCGACGCACACAACGCATTGCACACGTGCATGTTGAATCAAAAGCATTCGTTTTCGTTCCTTGACGCACTCGTCCCTGCGCAATCGGTTTCGCATTACGTATTCCGCGGAATATGAATCCCGGCGGGAATCTCGAGCGGTCCGAAACTTTGTGCCGTCCAACGAAGAGGAACAAATAGACGTGGAAATCACGCGGCCGAAAGGGACAGGAGATACCGAGAGATGCATGCGGCACTGATTGAAATGCGAAAACTTTCGCAACGACAAGATGGACGGGAGTATACACGCAACGGACGCTAACAAACGATGTTTGCAATTATAATCCACGCCTCTTCTCACTTCCAGTTATATCTCTCTCACATTCTCGTTCATGACTACTCGCTCATCGCGCCTCGATTCGCATGATTGGACAGAGAGAAACGAGCGGCCTTTTTAATTCAATTAGTGGAGTTTGTATAATCGGCCACATTTTGTGCCTTAACCTTGTATAAATTTTAATCATTCTTATATTTGACAAACGGAAAAATATCTGAGAATTATATATTATGAAAATTATATATATATATATATATATATATATATATATATATATATATGAAGAATATTAGATAAAATTTTCTTTTAATTTTTTAATTTTTTAATTTTTAGATAAAAAGGTTATAAAAATAACAAAAATTCCATTTTTATATATCTTCAGTACCGGACAAAAATATATCACCTTTATGTTGTTTGAGAATAACTTAACTCAAAGTGAAACTTAATTCAAAGTGTATATATTTCTGTTTAGTTACATATTTTAATAGTAGGTATAGATTACTTAACAATAGACTTTTCATTAAATAATAAACACAGCAACTTAAGAAAAATTAATTATTAAATGTATGCAGTTTGAATTAAGTTATCCTACAAAAAGTGATATATTTTTAACCGGTACTGTATATATTTTTTTCAAAATTCGTAATTTCTTCCACATATATTATGAAAAGAAAGAAATTATTATGATAATAATCTAAGAAGATATATACTCCTGGACAAAATTAACGCATAATTTTTTCTTCACTTTTTCTTTAAGGATGTTTTATATGTACAATCCCAGCAAAAAGTAGCTGAAAATCAATATTGACGAATGTATTCACTTTTGGTGTATTTTGAGTATGAGAAATTGTGTGAAATATTACAATTTAATCTTAGCTACAGTGCAGAGATGTATTTTTTAATATTTATTGCGTTTTTACTGAAATATTCCGAATTTTGTTAATCGAAATGATTAACTTTTGGCAAAGAATTTTGCCTGGTGACAGATACATGACTAACTTCATTGAATTATATTTAATATGTTTTTAACCAGTTAATACTAGTATAATATTATTTTGCCAAATATTTCTTCTGTCTCTAAACTTTTGCAAATTTTAAACAAATTCTGAATATTATTTCCATGTGTTTTTATCATTTGAATCGACGTGATTATACGTTTCCCATAAAAACACATGTTAATTCGGTGTAAATTAAAATCCTTATAACTTGTGAACGATTTAGTGAAACGATTTAAAAATTGTACTGAAGATTCTAAACATATGTAAGGACATTCTGTACAATTTTCATTAAATTCTCAATATTTTGAAAATAGATACAAAACATTCTCAATATTTTGAAAATAGGTACAAAACAGGAAAATAGGTACAACCTTAATGAAATATTCCGAATTTTGAAAATAGGTACAAAACATCCTTAAAAACTGATATTTAAATTTTAACGAAAAATTTTAAAGAAAAAGTGAAAAAAAAATTTAAATTAAAAAAATTAATATATCATCCTTTTCTTTAATCATTCTTATAAAATACTCCGGTTAAATTAATAAATAATAATAGACGTTAAAATAAAACAGTTATATTCCTTTATCAATTAGCATATTCATTATTCTTGCCGCATAACATATTGAATTATCGCGACAGTCTGTCGTCGATGAAACGAAAATATCTGACTCGGCAATTTAGTCTCTTTTCTCATTATAATTCGCCCGTTTGTCACATAATGTCGTTGATCGTAAAGTTATAACAAGATTCAAATTCCCATTTCGCTTTTATCCGACGTTTCTCTCGGTTCATTTCATAGTCGCTGCAGGAAAAATTAATGAGACGAATGACAAACAGTGCAACTCACCTTTTTATCGCTTAGCATGCCGATTTTGCAGTCTAGCAAAACGGTACTGCCAATTCTCGTGGTGACATTCATCTCCCGATCGCCGTCCTCGAAGTACGGACCAAATTTACCGAAGGCGCTATCGACGCTGGGCAAGACAAACTTCCTGCCCGATAGCGTTCGGTGAGTGGTAGTCTGGAATTGATGATCGCGATTGCGTTCCGTTTCGAGCGTTCTGATCGACGGTTTTATTTCGTAGAAAGCCTTCGTCGATTTGCCGGCTAGCAGTAGATTGTTCGCGGATCTAGACTGATTCTTTCTCGCTTCGCCAAGCTTTCGCGTCTCGTCCATCTGGCCGACGCTAGTCTTTCCGTGTTGTCGGCCGTCTTGATAGTCCTCGTCCTTCGGCGGTACTTGAAACGAGATCGCTCTAATATCCTCCGCGTTTCTGTGCTCGCTTTCGAATCTCGCTTCCGTAACATCTTCGTCTTTCTCCACCGGCGTCATTGTCAGCCATTCGTTCTTTGGCTTTTCTATCGTAGACTCATTCGTTCCTCGAAAATCTTCAACGTGCTCCAACGTCGCTAGCGCCTCTTCCGCTTGTTCCGAGTCCTCGATTCTCTTGGAGGCGAATATCATCTGGTCGTCTGCATATTTCTTCGATGTGTTCTCGAAGTGAGCTTCAATCACGGTAACGAGCGAGAGCGAGCTCTTCGTCGAGGTCGAATACTCAACCGCGAAGGCGGAAATGACTTCCTCGAGAGCCGCTGTATCATTACTACGAGGCCAACCAACGGTGCGATTCGTCGCGATTCTTTCGCCGAAGCGTTGATCTTCCTCGTCGAGATGATTGATGCCATGCTCGATGGCACCGCTCTCCGTTTCTGCGTTAGAAAGCAAATAGCCATGTTACGATACGTTAAATCGGAACCGATATATATACAGAATGTCCCAAAAGTCCCGGACCGGTCAAATATTTCATAAACTATGCACTTTAGAAAGAAATGTTTCAGACAAAAGTTGTATGGTTTGAAGGGGGGTCATCAGATAGTGGCAATGATTTGACATGGGAGAGTCATTTGAAAGTCACGTGAAGATAACCGTCAATTTCTTAAATGGAAAATCCTATGTTTTATTACATATTCGTGTATCTTATCTCGAGAGCTTTTCAAAACACTATAATAAAGTAAAGTTTCTTCATTGAGTACTTTTCGAGTTATGAGGCTTGAAATCATTTCTTAATTTTACATAAACTGTAAAATATCTTGTAAAATATTCATTTTTCTTACTTTAATAATTTTATGTACAAAATAATGAGAGGAATCAATTGGTGTAAAGAAAAAACATAGTTGTTTTTTAAAAAAAAATAAGTAATTTGCAATTAACAATTACATATTTTTTTTAAAAACAACTATGTGTTTTCTTTACACCAATTGATTCCCTTCATTATTTTGTACATAAAAGTATTAAGGTAAGATAATCGAAAAATGAATATTTTACTAGATATTTTATGGTTTATGCAAAATTAAGAAATGATTTCAAGCCTCATAACTCGAAAAGCACTCAATGAAGAAATACTTTATTATAGTGTTTTGAAAAGCTCTCGAGATAAGCTACACGAATATGTAATAAAAAATAGGGGGTTTCATTTAAGAAATTGAAGGTGATCTTCACGTCACCTTCAAATGACTCTCCCAGGTCAAATCATTGCCACTATTTGATGGCCCCTTTCAAGTCGTACATCTTTTGTCTGAAACATTTCTTTCTAAAGTGCATAGTTTATGAAATATTCGACCGGTCCGGAACTTTTGGGATACCCTGTATATATATATACATATATATATATATATATATATATATACAGGGTATCCCAAAAGTTCCGGACCGGTCGAATATATATATATATATATATATATATATATATATATATATATGGTAGGCGAAAAATCTAAAGGGTGAACACAAGTTTGTCGACCGTGTTAAGGGTGAATCGACATGCCGACGAGGCGGAGCGCCCGCTTCACGGGATTTATGGCTTGGAACGAGGTAGGATGATCTCCCGTCGGGTGAGGATTTAAATGAGGACGTAAGAAGTGCAGCCGAGAATTTTATGGGGTGTTCGAGAGCTCTCGAAGGAGAGTCGATAAATGGCCAATCAAAAACTCAGATCTGAGAATGTTATAAAGTAAGATGATAGGAGAGACCGGGGACAAAAGTAAAAGCGTCATGAAAGTAAGCCTCCTACTAAACTACACAATATGTTGAATAATTTGTACTATATTTAAACGCGTACGCCCCAATTCTCTTCCTTTTCAGCTAATTGTTGTAGAACGATCGCGCCAGTTGCACATGCAGGTGAAATTAGTGTATTTGCATTATTCACCTAAGTATTTCTTATTTTAGTTTTTTTGTATCTATGCGTAATTAAAGTGTATATATTGGCGCAATTATTTGCAGATATATTCTTCTAAAATGTATTCATAAGTTTTTATAGTTGATTTGATTGGCTGTCTTGCATCATATTTAGGTTATAATGCTTTTATTCTAATAAATGTGTTTCGGGATGAAAATAACACGACACTCTGTGAACGAAAGTAACATATTTCAATGCTTAAAGTATAAGGGCTGGTCCCATAATAACTGTACCAAAAGCGATTCTTATTACATATGCCATAATTGTGATTCGGAATAGATACCAATCTCTTTTGTATAAGTAGTTATCACAATTTTTACACTATTATTTAAAATTAAACTATTATTTAGACTTAAAAATGTATAAAACTGGTGTAATACTAAGTATAATTATTTTATGATATTATTATATTTTGCTTAAGGATGTTTCGTACTTATTTTCAAAATATTAAAAATTTAATGAAAACTGTACAGAATGCCCTTATATATGTTTAAAATCTTCAATTTTTAAATCGATTCACTAAAGCTTTCACAAGTTATAAGGATTTTAATTTGCATGTGCATCGAATTAACATGTATTCTTATGGGAAACGTATAATCACGTCGATTCAAATGACAAAAACACATGAAAATAATATAGAATTTGTTTAAAATTTGCAAAAGTTTAGATACAGAGGAAATATTTGGTCAAATAATATTATACAAGTACTAACTGGTTAAAAAGATATTAAATATAATTTAATAAAGTTAGCCATGTATCTGTCGCAAGGCGAAATTCTCTGCCAAAAGTTAATCATTTCGATTAACAAAATTCGGAATATTTCAGTAAAAACTCAATAAATATTAAACAATACACTGCACTGTAGCTAAGATCAAATTGTAATATTCCACGCAATTTCTCATACTCAAAATACATCAAAAATGGATATTCGTCAATATTGATTTTCAGCTACTTTTTGCTGGGTACATACAAAGCATCCTTAACGAAGATTATTTCTTTTAAGTTTTTTAAAGATGATAAAAATAAACATTTTATTTTTTATTTTAATATAATATAATACAAATTTATAATAAAAGTTATCTTGCTTAATAAAAGATTATATTAAAAGTTCCCTTAAATTAAAAAAAGGCATATTTATTTTATTTTCCCGAAAACAAGAACTGTTACTTTCATCCCAAACTATGTTACTTTCGTCCCCGGCCCCCAGGACAAAAGTAACAATCAACGTACTTCCGAAAAGCTATAATAACTCTTTAAATATTTATCACTTGAGATTGAAACATAGGTATAATAATAGAGCAATAAATGAAGTTTTTTAACATATAATCTTTTTCTTTATATCTCTAACAATAATTAATTAGTGACCTAAAATACAAAAAATGTTACTTTTGTCCCCGGTCTCCCCTATTTTCTTAACAAAAATACAAAAACTTATTGAACATATAGAATATATATAAAATTAATTATATTTCATATAATATCATCTTATCCGATCAAAAAATACCACGTTTTTCGAAGGAACTTAACATAAAACAAATGTCGAAAATCTGCACGCGACATTTGAAAATATTCTATACGATGAGAACCGCATGATAATAACGATATGTAATTCCTTTGTGCTCGGGACAGCGATGCGTATTTTCACGAAACAAAAGTGCCGCAGGTTTACTTCCGCAGGAATTTCATTTTGCGAGCGCGTATCATGACCGCGGTTTTATTCGCAAAAGCGCTGGCAAAGTTTCCGGTATAAGGTTTCGTTTTTCCCGCATGGTTTCGATCGCGATCGGAGTCCATGAGAAAACCAACGATAAACAACTCTCGCAGAAACTTCGCTCTACGAGTTTTCTGCCATCCAACGGAATTTACTTTAGCGCGACCAGCATCGAGAAATTTCTTTCTGTGTGAATACAAATCTGTGTTATCATTAATATAAATAATACTTTTTTATGGAATTATAAAAACAATAGAAAATCTAGAATTGTTTTTTTTATTTTATCTTATTTTTTATTATTATGTTTGTTTTGATTACTGTAAATCGAATCATTCAAATTAATATGAATCAAAACTTGTTAAAGTCGTCAAACTGTAGACAGTTAAATTTAATTAATGATTAAATCGATAACTATACATTTTGGATAATCATTAAAAACATATAAATTTAGTTTATAACAAATTTTATAACTAAATTTTATAACAAATTTTATAACTAAATTTTATAACAAAAGGAAACTCTTTAAATACATTGTTGCATTTGTTTGCACTGAAAATTGCATTGTTGCGACTTTCATTTATTATTACCATTAATAACATTTTACACGTATATATCTCAATAAATTTAACCTGCATTTATTTTTAAAAATAATGTTTCAAAGGTAAAACTTTTGCGTGCTACATTACTTATTGAGGACAGCTTTGTATCGAGAGATACTTGTGTAGTGGAGACCATATTGTCGTAGAACATAGATTCATCGATGTTCTGATGGGCTTCGCGCGATATCGCCACAATCCTATTTACGCAAGTGGATATTGCTCTCGCAATAGTAACGGTCGCGATGAATATAGCCCCATAGTTGCTATCTACCACGCTGAGTATGGGAGGATTATAAGATTGCTACCGGGAGACTTCTATCAGAGAGCGCACTATCATCCTTTGTATCTTCTATTCTACCGTTATCCAAGAACAGCCGTAGACTTTCATGTGTAACTTTTCGATTGTACGTTCGCTCTTCAATTTTCTATTTCGTCACAAGATATTATGTCGATCCTGGTCTTTCCTCTTTTTACTATCATTGTAACTGGCAGAAAATTGAAAATCACCAGAAAAAAAAGAAGACTGTAAAGAATATCATAAATTTTTCTATCCCATTATGTTAAGCTTTTCAATCTTCTCTGGCTTACGTTTTAATATTGTGTGCAATATAATACGGTTAATAATGTTTTAAAAAATCATTAAATTGTCAAAATTTGATTGATAATTTATAAAAGTTATTAATTCGAGAAAAAATTAATTATTTTTGGTTCTTTAACAATTCTTTAATGATTAAAAATTTTCATATTTTAACATGTAAAGGGAAAAACAAATTAAAGGCTTATACAAAGTGACAGTATTTTTAAAATCAATATAGATTAAATTTATGATTAAATTCTAAAACTTTTTCAGATATTTTAATATATGTTTCTATATAATGTGAATCTGTTATTTTAAATTCAATTAAATTTATTCTTCGTAACTTAAAAAATTTAGAGGGAAAAACAAATTAAAGGCTTATATAAAGTGACAGTATTTTTAAAATCAGTATAGATTAAATTTATTATTAAATTCTAAAATCTTTTCAGATATTTTAATATATGTTTCTATATATTATGAATCTGTTATTTTGAATTGAATTAAATTTATTCCTCATAACTTAAAAAATTTAAAAGAAAAAACAAATTAAAGGCTTATATCAAGTGATAGTATTTTTAAAATCAGTATAGATTAAATTTATGATTAAATTCTAAAATTTTTTCAGATATTTTAATATATGTTTCTTTATAATGTGAATCTGTTATTTTGAATTCAATTAAATTTATTTTTCGTAACTTAAAAAATTTAAAGGGAAAAACAAATTAAAGACTTATATAAAGTAACAGTATTTTAAAAATCAGTATAGATTAAATTTATTATTAAATTCTAACTTTTTCAGATATTTTAATATATATTTTTATATGATGTGAATCTTTTATTTTGAATTCAATTAAATTTATTTTTTCGTCACCTAAAAAATTTAACAAACTTAGATTTATATTCGCAGATACACATTTCATCTATCATTTAATACTATACCTACATCGTCAATTTTCGATATACGTATAGACGAAAATCGTGAAAATGTCGAGAATCTCCGATCTCGCCGATTGTCCGGAAGCTACGCAAACGTCACCAAGCCGATATACACCTCGATATTTGAGGACGGAGATCTTGTTTACGGGAATCGATATTGCCCACCATGCCGATAGCACCGGCTGTAATGGCAACAGCAACGGTGGCAGCAACGACAACGTGACGTTCGTTCGTCGTTCGTCGTTCATCGTTCGGAAGCAATTTACCGCGCGCTTTGCGTCGCGAGTGATCGATCGTGTCGAGCAACGTTGTGTAATTTTGGTCGCAGACGACGTTCGTAATGATTTATAAAACGGCTAACGTGTGTGCAGTGATTTCTGCGAAAAATCCGGAAATTGCTACATTCTTTTATGTTCGAGTCTCGTTGTAAAAGAATCAATATATTACGATTTATTTGATCCGTGCTTTTAATCTTTGAGAAATGATTTGTAAAACTGCGGATGTTATGTGTAAGGAATAATTTTCTCAAGACTTCCTAAAGATTATCAATTCTTCTGTACAATTTTTACTTGTATAGAAGTCATTCTACTGCAATCGATATTTGTTTCGTATTTTAGATCAAATTATACACTGAGAGAAAAATTGTCTTAAAATAAAAAAATTTTAGTTAACTCAAGAAAGTTATTTATTCGATGGGTATTAATCACGTATTTACTTGTATTCAAAACGTCTGTTTGCTTAAGTTAAGTATTTATTTACATATGTTTAAAAAAATATAATTTTTAATTAAATATTTTTATATTTTAATTTAAAAAATATTTATTAAAATGCATTTTTTATTCTCAAAAATTTTAAATTTTTTAATTTTAAAAAATAATATATTTAATTTTATAAATTATAGTATATATTTTACGAAAATAGTATTTAAATATAAAAAATATATAAATGAAAATAATGTACTTAATATAACGTGCACATTTAATTAAAATTAAATGCTTTTGTTTAAATGAAATAAACAATTCCTTCCATTTAGAGCAAAAGTTTCAAGAAAACAAATTTATTTGATTTAAAAAAATTTTTCCCTCAGTGTAGCGCTAATGTAAGAAAATAATATTAATACCAAAACCAAACCTTTCTAAATTTCGATATCCGACTCATTTCCACGTATTCCGATTATGTCCGATTAACTTCCGGTAATATTATCAAAGTTCTATTGGCGTATTAATCTTCACTACGCTGGGATTACACGTATTATTATTCGCGATGGTCCCATCTCTGTGAACATGCTCCGAACACGTTCTGTGATAATAGATAAGGCGATCGTTCGTCTCGGGTTTTGTTGGCAATCCGTGAAGGGAAGCTTTTTCTTCAATCTCGCGCCCTGAATATACTCCGATTTGCGCGAATGATTGATCGCCGCCGTGCGATATCGGCGGCCGTAGCTTGAAAGCGCCATTGCTCCGGTAGTGCAAGTGATTCGTGCAAAATTTCGGCTATTAGCGCTCCGCGCGCGCCGCAAAATGAAGATATACCTCGCGTTTGTTCCTTGTGATTGATAACTTCCGATCGCGGCTCCGTGCAACCGATGCATAAGTAACGTATCATTTTTCATTCGCCACGTCTGCAAATTTCGCGCCTAATTCCCTCTCCCACCTTCGAGCCGAGCGCATTTTTAGCCCGCTGCGTTCCAAGTATAACCGTGCACACCTATCTCCGCGCAATTTGTCAACATGGATTTACGCGTGTCACGTGTGATAGACAAATTCGCGGAACGTGCAAAGAAGAAAACTTCGCGGATTTATTCCTGCGGATACGACGGATGCAGTCCCAGATTGACGTCAGTCTTCGAACAGTCGAATTATATGGGAATCTACCACTTGAAAATCATTTCATCATTTTTAATGTCAATAATGATGTAGATTTTTCTATCTTCAAAATTTTCATATAGAATTATTTTAAAATCAAAATTCAAAATTCAAAATTATGCAATAAATATATAATATAAATATTGATTATACAACAAGTATAACAGATATATTATTTTTTTCGATACTCTTCGTATTCCTGTTTGTTTGACTGTAGCAAACAAAATACAAACATCTTAATTCATTTGTGTATCTTTTTGACGAGAATTACCGAAATATTATCTACTCAAATCGATTAATAATCGATTAATTTTTTTAAATAAAAACAAATTCTTTCAGATTAAAATTATTATTCTAAAGCATAAAAATAATTATTTATTTTCGATACAACTAAATCTATCAACATTAAACGCAATCTTATTGTCCACTATTTTCAAAGTTTTGTGGGGTGTGCAGAATTGTGCGAAAGAGCGTTCACCTACAAAATGGTGATTGCTAGGAAGCGTAAGAAAGTAAATTCCGATGAAGCTATCTTCACGAGGTTGTATGGAACAACGAGCTCGATAGCTGCAAAAGAGTTTTGCCCTCTTTATTCCGCCGAGTACGGTCGTTTTCCGTTGTTATGACTCGACGCAACTAAGCATTTAGGTTAATTAAAATCTTCGTATTCCAATCAACTGAGATGAATAAATCGCTTATTTACTCGTAACGATATTACATGCGAGTATTCAATTGAAAAATATCCCATCAAAATTCGTCATGATGAAATAATGAATGCGAAAATTGATTTTGAAATATAATGCAAAAAATGAAATAAATTTCATTTTGAAATATAATGCAAAAAATATGCAACTTTTATAGCATTGTCAATATTCCAGATATTTAAGTTCCACCAATTATTTTCTATTTTATTAAAGTGTTGTAACTCTTTGCACACGATGCATATTGTAATAAAATTTTATAGATTTCTATTATGTTAGTCCATTAACATATAATACAGTTTTTACATTATTCTTAAAAATATTATGTATGTAAAATATAATAAAACTTAAAATATAATTTTAAAAATAAATAAACTTTAAGTACACACATGCATAATGATTGTGCCACATAATTTGAAATTTCGTTTACGTACAAACACATAAATTTCTATTTTTCGAGTATGGTATAAGAAATCGCATTAGCCGTATACATATACAGAGTGTCCCAAAAGTCCCGGACCGGTCAAATATTTCATAAACTATGCACTTTAAAAAGAAATGTTTCAGACAATAGTTGTATGGCTTGAAGAGGGCCATCAGATAATGGCAATGATTTGACATGGGAGAGTCATTTGAAAGTCACGTGAAGATTACCGTCAATTTCTTAAATGGAACTCCCTATTTTTTATTACATATTCGTGTATCTTATCTCGAGAGCTTTCCAAAACACTATAATAAAGTATTTCTTCATTGAGTACTTTTCGAGTTATAAGGCTTGAAATCATTTCTTAATTTTACGTAAACCGTAAAATATCTTTCTGTAATAATGAGAGGAATCAATTGATGTAAAGAAAAAACATAGTTGTTTTTAAGAAAAAAATATGTAATTTGCAAATAACAATTACATTTTTTTTTTTAAACAACTATGTGTTTTCTTTACACCAATTGATTCCTTTCATTATTTTGTACATAAAAGTATTAAGGTAAGATAATCGAAAAATGAATATTTTACTAGATATTTTATTTTATGGTTTATGCAAAATTAAAAAATGATTTCAAGCCTCATAACTCGAAAAATACTCAATGAAGAAATACTTTATTATAGTGTTTTCGAAAGTTCTCGCGAGATAAGATACACGAATATGTAATAAAACATAGAGAGGTCCATTTAAGTAATTGACGGTGATCTTCACGTGACTTTCAAATGACTCTCCCATGTCAAATCATTGCCATTATCTGATGGCCCCCTTCAAGCCATACAACTTTTGTCTGAAACATTTCTTTCTAAAGTGCATAGTTTATGAAATATTCAACCGGTCCGGGACTTTGGGACACTCTGTATATCAAAATACGTACATATATAAAAAATAATAGGAAATAAAGCTGTAAAAAGCTGTAAAAAGATGTAAAAAAATGATTTAAATCTTAACAGACTGTTGTCATCAGAAGTGCGTTGGCATTAATTAAAAATAAAAATAAAAATTCTACATTATTATTTACCTGATGTAGTGATAGTGATCATGACAATGGCGATGACGCCGAGTACCGTGGCGGTCGGTTGCATTCTCCAACCAGCCATCTCGAAGATCCGCGCGATCTCAGCCCTCAGGAATCTGCTCCATCTCGTTCATCTTCCCTCTACGTAAGAAATGGAATCACTATGTTAATAATAAATAAAGATTATAAACTGTAAATTAATTTGTAAAATTACAATTATACATTCAAAATTCAAAATTACAGCAAATTTAAAGTTATACATTTGATAAACATAAGGATTTTATTTTAATTAAAAATGATTTATTTTAATACGTCTTTTAAATGTAATCGCATAAAAGGAGAACAAATTCTCTCCTCTCTAATAAATGATTGAGAACAAACTATTACTTATAATTCAAATTTCTATTAATATACTAAAGATCTTTTAATGTGTCTTTACATATTTACATTTATCTATTCGCTTAGAGTAGATAATATTGTTACTGAATTTGCATTTTCTTTTGTCAACAAAACTTAATTTCAAAACTTAGATAATGCATCGGGAAAGTGTGCATTTATCTTTCGCACGAGATTACTCTCAATCGCCCGGATAGGTTGGCGATAACATTGAAAGAACACGTGATTCGTTTCGTTTCACGGTAGCAAAATCGAGAACTTCGTGTGCCAAAGTTCCGACTGGGTATTATTGCAAAAGATCGTTGAAAAGTAGGCACCGTAACTTTTACTGCGTTACTTTTAAGTTTTAATCTTTCATTGTAATGGACGCTATAACGATTGCGCAATGTTATATCTTTTTCCACTTCTGCGAAATGAATCGTAGAAAAACATGTCTTCTGATATTTCTCTGATAAACATATTAAAAGTAGCGTTGACACATGTCATATTTCCTGAATAATAATTTTAATACTGTACAAAATTTTATTTTTATTTCTTTTCTTTAGAAAATTATAAAGAGAGATACTACAATACAATACTATAAGAAAAAAACCTAGTATGAATTAAGTACTCTCTTTTGTTCTTCAAGATAAAGAAAATAATGACTCTATTGTTCTATTTATAATGGTTCTATTAATTAAATTTTTCTATTCTCATTTTTTTTGTATTTTTTATATTAATTTTAAATATAAGAAATAAGTAAGCAGTTTATATCTTATCATTGTGAGGAAATATTGCGGAGGATAAGCAGAGTATCTCTTTCGAGTCGTTTGATACAAAATCGACAAATTGCAATGCGTAACCAACGTGTAATTTGCTCATGGCATCACTATAATTGTTAGCAGGTAACTTCGAAGCTACCATTTATAGAGTTAAACGAGTACGACACCGACACGTTTCGAGTAATCCTGGAAACACTGGTTGAGAATCATCTACAATTTCCCCATATTAATTGGCATGACTAAACGACATGTGGATTACACAAGAGTAGATCTATCGTGCAAATAATAATTGCGAGCACATATGTTGACAGAAGATATAACATATAGAAGTGACATTGTTAATGGATTAATCTTTCCTCTCTCTCAGTGTATATCTAATCGTATCATCTTATTAGTACAACATATATAAGTATATATTTCATCATATTTACAGTCATATAGTATTCTTATTCTGATTTTTTGATATTATAAATTATGATTAAATCATTTAAATAGCAAGAATTTTTTTAGGTATAATAAATTAAAATATCGAAGCATGATATGCAGCAAAAGGTAAGTAAAAAAAATAAGATTTTCTCATTCACTACATTTTTAACATTTCTTTTGTATTATTATAATATAAAAATATTAAATTATTAATTTACATACAAAATAAAAAAATATCAATACAAAAATATGTATTAAAGCATATAAGAAACATAAAGAACAATGCTTTCATTTTACAGATAATCATTGATAATTTAAATTTCAAAATTCGTACATCTAAAGATTTTCTGAAATTTCCACAGCAATGTTAAAAAAAATAATAATAAAAAAAATTTATATTATATAGTTAATAAATAAAAATTCAATATTATGTGAACAGATTAAATCATATAAGAATATCTATTGCGCTGCATGGAATTCGTTTATACGGGTAAGGCAATTATTAAATAGCTACCCGTGATTAAACTTGCTTCCTTAGAAATATTATCCTCAATCTCAATCACATTCCCTAATTTGCATCTGTCATCTCTAGCAAACACAAATTTCTCGTCTTTCCGACGTTGACGGATAAATAAAGTTTTTGCAGTAAGTATAATTTTCAATATACGTCTTCAAAAGTCAAAATTGTTGGATTGCATTGCAATGTTTAAGAAATTTAGAAAAGAAAAAATAATTTAATTAAAAAAATAAAAATCTGTAAAATGAGAGAAAAAAACAACGTTTATATGATAATAAGAAAAAATGAAATATATAATAATTTATACAATTATAAACATAATATTTAAATTATTAGTTGTACAATTCAGTAATCAAATAAACATAGATGAAAATAATTTTTATAGTCAAATAAGTAAAATATAATATATTCAAAAATATTGGATTACAAATACGTCACTCATTTTTTTATTCATATTATTCTTTTCATATTTGTATTTACATTTATAAAGCGTTATATACAGCCCGTTAAAATCGTTTTACTCTGTTTTCCGCAAAATAACTGCGTGTTACTGTTTAATACCCATCAGTTTTTGAGATATGCTGTCGATATATCGACAATATTCACCACGTTATTACACAGTTTCCGTTAATCGTTAGCGGAGTGACGGTATTTATTTTTCGCGAACGAAAATAGGACAGTATTAAAATTTATTGAATCGTGACATGTAGTTGCACTCAGGTTGTCAATAAAACAAAATATTTTGACGCGTAAATATAAATTAAGTGTATTAATTTATTTGTGCGCTTATTTATATATTTTTTATTATCTATTATCTCTCATATTATTATCTATTATATATTATATGTGTCTATTATTTATTATATTATCTATTATATTATCTATTATATTATCTATTATATATTATATATATTTCTATTATCTATTATATTATTATTTAATATATATTATAAATATCCATTATCTATTATGTTATCAATTATATATTACATATATCCATTATTTATTATATTATTTATTATCTATTATCTTATTTATATTATAATATACAAAAACTTGTATTTTTATATATTTTATCAAAGAGTAACAAGATGTTGAAAAACATATTATATTTGATTTATTATTTTAAGAAGAACGAAGCGTACAAATACTTTTTTTTATTTTTTCCTAGCCTACAAACTATAGATTTAGACATACAAGATAAAATACATATCTTCTAAAGTATATATATTGTAAAGAACAATATCACATTTTTATAATTGTAAATAAATTGTATATTCAATATTATGAATTCTATAAAACAATTTTATTATAAATCTATGAGAATCGTCCAACAAGAGACTTAAGCTATATTTATTTCGATTCTTGCAATATTATTGCAATATTATGCAATAATTAGATATACATTGTACATTGAAAGTTTTCGAGACATAAATGACACTGTTGTGCCTGTTTGAAATTAGAGCATAACATAAATTAACTATACAGTCTAACAAACAGCACGTTAAAACTTTCCCAATGAATTCATTTTTTACAGCGCAATCGGAGTTGTTAATGTGAAAAGTTGCCGACATATAATCGCAATTAAGCAGAAGGACGCCGATCGTATCCTCTCAGAATTCGTGCATTCATTAACATAATTTCATTACGAATTAATGAATCCGATATCGAAACTGCTCATTAAATTGTTCGATTTAATGAATAATTAGAAATGTGAAAAATCAAGCGCATAATCGTGATTAATACTTTAAAATTCGAATTTTTTTAATCATAGTGTACACAAACTCAGTCAAAATAAATTCAAAATTATTATTAAATTATCTTTAATAAAATAGCTGATGTAGAATCACTGAAATATTTAATGTTATGTATTGTCACATTATCGCCACTTTAAAGTAAGATTACTTTTAAACAGAAATCTATAGGTATGTATTTGCAGCTGAATCTATAATTTTAACAAAATATGAAAAATTTGAGACGTTTTTTCGCACAATCATTGCATTATTTATACTAAATATTAAGTTAAAAAGACTGACGAATAGACGATATGGCTATGCTTTTCTGCTATCGCAGATAAACGAAAAGCAGGTACGACGAATCTTACGGCCGACTACCAATTATAATGTTTAATCAGACGAACGTAATTATACGTACGGATATATACAGTGCGCTACCACTTACTAAGAGTCGAGACGGAACGAGATTCGCCGAGCCGGAGAGAAGTCAAATATTCGTACAGATATGATTGCATAATTCCGCTCGGCCTCGCGTGGCATTTCGAGAATTTCTACGTAACACGAAAACTTTGATCTCGGGAATTCTCCTTTGATTTATGAGCTATCTCTGTGCAAGCGTCGTAATAGTAAATCAACTACAAGCCTTCTTTGCAAGCTAAACGACGAAATTATGTGAATTTAGCTTACTTTTGCTTCCACAATATCATGATATACGCAACATTTACTCGTAAAGCTCTAGAATTAATTTTTTTGTGCAACGTTAAATTTTGCTAAAGACTTTTCTTTTTTACTGAGTGTAATATTCGATATTATCTAATTATAAAATACTCAAATACAAAAACTGGAGTAAAAAATTAATTACTAAAAACGCAGGTTTAATTTTCAAGAAAAATTTGCATACGAAGTATTTTGTGAAGATATTGAATTTCCATCAATTAAAAGAATTGCATAATTGTTCGTATCAAGAATAAAATAATTCGCAAATAAAAATATTGATCGTTTATATAGGATACAGTTTAAGAACTAAAATTGAAACGTATTCTGCTGACTACAAAAAGAATTATCAAAAAATGCAATATATTAAATTATAATATTATATTAATATTATTATAATTTATATAATATTATATTCATATAATGTAACATTATATTTATATTTATATAACATTATATTATAATACGTTACGTATAATTACGTTTATATAATATTGCAAATTTTTAGGATAAAAAGGATCTTAAAAATTACATTTATTTTACATAAAAAAACTTACATTTTATTACAAATTATTTTAAATGCATGATTTA